GGAATAATAATAAGTTCTGCTTATCAAGCATGTTCCACACTGCAAAGGTTCTAGGGTGCCTGAAGGAAACAGAGTTAGCTCACACAGACAGAACACAGCAAATCTTGTTTCCTTTTGCTGTTCTTAATTATAATGCACTTTTATTTTAAATTAAATACTGAAGCAATGCCAATACATTTTTTTCTTTTAAACAGAACTTGAATATTTTGATAGGGCTGTACTTACTTTACTATCCTATTTTTTACTTATTCTTTTTTTTATGGTATTGGGGGTTGAATTCAGCACCTCCTACTTGCTAGGTAGCTCTAGCCACACCCTCAGCTCTTTAAGCTTTAGTTATTTTAGGGCCAGGGTCTCATGATTTTGCCCTGGGCAGTCTGTAATCCTCTTATTTATGCATCCAGTGGAGCTGAGATGACAGGCACACACCACCACACCTAACTATTGGTTGAGATGAGATCTTGCAAGCCTTTGTCAAGGCTGATCTCCTGATACCTACCTCCCAAGTAGCTAGGATTACAGATGTGAGTTACTGTTCCTTGCATAACCATTCTATTGTTTAAGATGCTATTGTACTGCATACATGCTAGACATTAGTAATTTTTAAATACTGTTTCATGTTGAAATAGCATTTTGCATATATTTTAGAATATATTAATGTATTTACACGGAATGTATTTTATAGAATGTATTAGATAAAATTAATGTCACTTGCTTCTTGTTATTTTTAAAAATATAATTATTAAGAAACTTACAATTATGAACATGGCTCATGTTAGATTTCTATTGGAAAAGGCCATTTTATTCCACAACTTTCAAAGTAGGTAATTTGAAATTCTAAATATATCTTTCCACAAAAGAAATATGAGAAATGATTCTTATACCTCATATTATACCACTAGGTATAATATAATAAACATCATTACTGACAGACTCTACACCTGTAATTAAAATCAAAAGAAAACACTAATAAATACACAGCATAAAAACACATACAAAAAAAGACATACAAAATACTGTCTTTTTTCTGTGAATTATGATATGTGAGGGAAAATTAGCTTAATTATTAGATCAAGAAATAGACAAAAATTAAAATGATTAATGAGGACCTTTAATTATGTTTAATAGTTTTTCAAAATTTATGATCTTTATTATAAATTATTTCATTTCAAAATATATGGCCCCCTCCTTCTTTCAGACAGATGTATCATCAGTGGCTCCATGCTGATGTTTATCAGCAAAGATTAGGGTTTTTTCCAAGAATAAGATTTTCTTGAAGTCAGAGGGGAAGAGACACTTACAGAAGGTAAGTGGTATAGTGGAGTAAGGGTGGTGTGAAGTAGACATCACTGAGCAATAAGGAGTGATGGCAAGTGAGAGAGGGAACATGGTGAGCACAAACCTCTGAGAAATAGGAAACAGAACAGCTGGAGGCAGACTCCTTTCTATATCCATCAATAGCTAGCTACACTCATCAGTAGGTGGTACTGCTGGCCTAAAACAGCTTAGATGCTACCCAGAGAAAATGGAAGCAAATGCTTGCTTTATAAACAAGGACCAACTGTGGGCAATTCTTCAGGAGCCCTTATTTGTCATTACTGTCATGGAAACTTTGGAGGTTCTGTATCTACAGAGCTCCACCAGCCACACTAATACAGTATGGATTGTGCAAATGTTGGAAGGTCAAGAATTAAAGAGAATGGATAAAACAGCTAAGAAGGCTATCTTAGGAACATGGCTTAATTTGAGAAGACTTACAAGAAATAAAATCTTAATCTTAAAATGAAAACCTTAAGACAATTTTATTTCTGAAACTTTATTATGTGAGATGACTATCCATTCATCCATCCACTTGCCACCTATTTATCTAGTTGAGTCTTGTGGTGTCAGGAATGCAGCAAAACAGAAGGAATTCAAAGCCAAATCAAAACAGCAAATTCAGACCATTTAAAGGATATTAATAACCTATAAAAGTCATACTCAAATGATTATACATGGCAAAATACAATTTATTTTTAAAGATAATAATGAATAAAAAAAGCTTACAAGTTTTTCCAATGAAAACCAGGAAATGAATGGACAGTGTGATTTAATTTGATGACTAGAGAACTAATTCCTAAACACAAAGGTATGCTGCACCCCCAAGTATTTCATCATCTAATCAAATAAAGGAATTAAATGCTACTTTTAAAGTAACCACATAAACCCAGCAATAAAATGAAATAAGTGCTATTTCCCCACACATCTTCAAGTTGCTAGACTAGACTACCTAATAGGATACATGGTAAGGAACTTGAAGCACTTCTACCTCAAGAGAATGTAAAAGAATTTAAAAATGCATTAGAGGGGGCCAAATGCTCTCCCTTTGCTTCCAGTTTCAATCTCATTCTTCTTCGATGCACTCTCCACAACGCAACCAAAATCCACAGGTTCCAGTAAACCACAGTTTACTATAACCACTTCCTTATGAAAACTCTTCTATAGATCTCTACTGCCCTAAGGACACTGTAGAGTTCACACTGTGCAATTAACAAGGCTTTGTATGACTTGGCTCCTACTCACCTCACTGACACTGGCTCATTCCCTCAGTTTATTTTCCCATTGCAAAGGTGTAAAGCAGTGGGTTTCCAAACAGTGGTCCTGGACCACAGCATCAGCATCACCTACACCTATTAGAAACACAGACCTAAGGCTGGGCGTGTAGCTCAGTGCTAGATTACTGGCCTAGCATGCATGAGACCCTAGGTTCTATCTCTAGTACCACAAAACAAAAATCAAAGAAACACAGAACTAACCCAGACCTGCTATATCAGAGTAAACTCTGTGGGGATGTCCAGTAATTTGAGTTTCAGTGAGTCTTGTAGTTGATTCTGCAGCACATCAAGGTTTGAGCACCACTGGTTTAAAGGCTAAATGAGAGGTAAATTATTATTTGAAGAATCTGATGGGGAAAATGAAAAAGTCCTAGAGCATAGAGGTGAGGAGCACACACTCTGGGGTCACATTGCCAGGGTTCAAGTTTTTACTCAGTTTTTCCCTAGCTTTGTGATCAAAGGGAAGTTATTTAGTGTGTCTCAGCACACAGTGTCATGCTTAATAGCACAGGTCCTACAGCAAGACTGCAGGGATTTAAATCCTGGCTCCTACGTCTTATTAACTGTGTGACCTTGAGTAAGTCACTTAGTTTCTCTGATCCTCAAGGGCCTCTTTAAAAAATAAACAACACCTAATTTATACAGTTGTAAAGATTAAAAGAGCTAATATACGTACTATGCTTCAAATTGTACCTGATGCCACAATAAGCACTATGCATGATTTATGATTATAGTAACTGACACCAATTTCACAGGGACCATATAATATTTTGGGAGTCAGCACTGAATACTAATAGCACAGAAAGTAGATAAAATTCAGTCCCTCACCCTTCTCTAGGTAAATGACTCCACACTTCCTGCAGCCCCCCCACCCCATGCAATACACCATTTACCTCTCTGCAAGTATATTTCCTTCTAGTTAGAGAGCGCTAACCTGGTGAAATGACCTCTTCGAAAAGGTTTGCCTGAAGGGATCATGTATTTCAGGTCCACTAATACTCTCTGTAGCAAAGAATTTAACAGACTGAAAAAAGATTTGCTGAACATTATCCTTGCACTAGGATAAATATTTCTGGTGATTATTCTAAATACATAGCCAGCTAAAAATTCTACATGTAAAACTACCATGAAAATGAGTATCTACAAAGTCACAGAGAAGGATGCTGAAAGTATCATGAATCAAAAATTGGGATAGAAGGTCTTTGTAGCTCTTTCACTCACTACCAGGAGTTAATACTATGTACCAGAACATGTGACTGCCTGAACCATACTACATTCAGTGCAAATGTGCTTCCGGACACAAACAAGTATAATAAAACTATAGTTTCTGAGGACATGATATGGATTTAAGTGATGTGAAATTATGCAGCAATATTTCTTTCAAGAGGAGAGAGATTGAGAGAGAGTGTTAGGAAATGACATAAGAGAGAGGAACAATATGAAGGAAAAATATGAGAAAAAATATTATATAGGGACAAGTCACAAAACCAAAGTCAAAACATAGAGCTCAGTACTGAGAGTTCAAGACCGACAGAGATAACATGTCACCATTAAATATTTACTATGGAGCCTGAATCTTCTGCCCCACTGTCTCTAATAGACAAGGAATTGAGTATAGAGTAGTCTTTATCTATGACTCTCATGATTTCTCTAGGTTTTAAAAATTACTTTTGTTGGTAAAATCAAGCACTTAATGCTATAGAGAATTTATTTTTATTCATTTGTGATAGCCACATTTCTCATGTTTTTATTGTTGTTGTTGTTGTTGTTTGGGTTTTTCCCCTGGAACCCTAAACCTCAGTATATGATGAGATGAAGGTATTTTGGCAGAATCTCTTTCCATAACTTTTTACTTTAAGATGAAAGTCACTGATTATTAAAAACACTCTATCACCTTTGGGTTTCAAGGCATCTCCTCATGCAAAACATTTTACACCAGGGGAAGGGGGATGGTTCACAAATTAAGATTACCGATATTTTTGTTAAGGCATGTGCTATGGAAAGCCTTTATACTTCATGTTTCCACTAACCTAATACCATATAATATCTATACAGATAAGGAAGATAATAATACATACAAGTCGTATTTTATTTTATAAGTAAAAACCTACAATGGCAAAGAAAACCGCTGATCTCTAACATTTTTTAAAAAGCCAGCAGGATTCTTTATTTACAACACATAATATCAGAGTCTTCTGAGATTGCCTGAAAAAAAGAAAATAGTTAATTCCTCAGATTAAGCTATAACTCAATATTCTCTAAAATAAGAAAAAAAAATTCAACTATAAAAAGTATAAGATGAATAAAACACAGGTTTTCTCTACTATGTTAAGTGTTAACTACACAGGAACTGATACGGGTTTTAATCTCAAGGAGGCCTTCTAAGCAAACCATTAGAATACTTACCTGCACAGTCCTCTGCGTACCATCAATGCTGACAGACAATAAGGGCAAAGCCAGGTTCCACGTACTGGTCACATTTAGTTTCGTCCCATCAACTTCCACCTGTTGTGACACCAAATAAGACTGTTACCATGAAGAAAGACAGAAAGCTGGTCTCAAGTTCACTGCTGCATACAAAACAGCAGCCACTTTAAACAGATGGCTCCCAAACAACCTGTCATGTTTACTGCTCCAGCCATGAAAGACAGGGTCCAACAACACCGTATTCCCAGCCATCTCTGGGGAGAGGTGAAGGACCTGTGAACAGCTGCCTCTGGGTACTGAGGCTTCACGTGATTTACAGTAAGTAACAAACAGCCTTCTAACTCGAACTATCTGGACATGCTACATTTACTGCAATTAGACAAGTAATGCATATAAAATTCAGTGACACTTTGCAACCCACACAACAGGGCTTGCATATAATATCCTCTCCAAGGACCAAGGAAGAACTTTTTCTGTGTTAATTTTAATGAAGGACTAAGCATTGTTATCTTAATTATACAGAAGCTTTAATTAGGCAAAATTGTTTGGCATTGAATATCCAAAGTCCATTCAAACTCTGCAAAGTTCTATCATACTTTTGCAATCATCAGTGACTAATTTCATAGTCATATTCATGAAGATGTAAAAAAAAAAAAAAAACCCATAATCTTCTAAAGTAGAGATACTCTTAGGGGAAATAAATTAATTTCAAGATAAATAGTACAAAAGTAACTGAAAGGAAAAACAACATAGGTAATGGAAAGTAACAAGTACTAAAAGTTCTTCCTTCCTTTTTACTTACTGATGATTGTTCCCTAACTTTTTAGTAGGAATGACAAGAACACAAAAGACATTATTATTTTATGTCTACTGTAGACAACCCAGCAAATGGATACTTACATGTGCTCAAGTTTCAAAATAAACCTATAGGAGAACCAAGATATATGATCCCTACGATTCCCCCACTATCATTTCTCACTCTTCAAAATTAGACACCAGAGTCCTATCCTCATGTCTGCTGGACCCTTGGGAAGAGCTAGGGAGGTAGCAGTGGAGAAAGACTGGTGAAAACATTCTAACGAGTGTTTTCTAAACATTCTAAAAGAATCCAGGCTTGAGGACATGGTCTAGGGAAGGCTCCAGGCTTTCAGTAACATGAAGCACTTGGTTTGGTGACATGGCTAACATGGTGTGGGAGCAAGGCACAGACTGGTGGAGGAGGAGACTGGATAGATGACCCAAGTGCAATCTGGTCGAAGTCCAGAAGTTTCTAATGTCTTAGTGAGGGTATGAGTGCAGGTCTGGGTAAGAATGAAGTCCAGATGGTATAGGGAATTCCATAATTGCAGGCCTATAGCAGGGACTATGGGTAGCAGAAGCCTCTTCAATGCTTTCAAAGTCCAAATAGTCTAAATGAGCTCATGATTCATTACTCAACAGCTATTGGACAAGGGTTCAACAGCAAACACTTGCAAAGACTGAATTTGGTTCTCTTCTCCATCACCACCATCATGAGGCAGCTCTGACCACCATTCCCAAACCCCTCTCAAATCCCAAGTTCCACATTGGTGAGGACTGAGGATAGGGGCAGAGACCCAAAACACTAGGTTATCTGAATGTGTATTTATACCAAAAGAGGTCAAGATCCTGTTTACATGTAAGTTTTTCTTTCACTACCCCCTAAAACTAGAGGGCTTATGACTGTGAATGAAAAATAGACATTACATTTCCTACTACACTTGGTAAGTAATGAGTAGAAATTTGTGATTTTTCTGTATCTGCAGCAAGGAAACTATAATTTCTCTAATCATAAATGATGAAACACATCTGTGAATATTAAATGAGGGAAGGGAATGTACTAAAGGCAACCACACGCCCTCTCTGGCCTCCAGCTCTAATCAGATTTCTTCAAGAAATCAGATTTCTCCAATAATTCTGAACAAATGAAATGATTCTATTGATGCTCTTACTATATGGGTGATTGATTATGTGGATAAGCCATCAGGGAGATAGATACCATCTCTCTGATCTACAGCTAATACCATGGAAAGGTTGAGGCAGATTTAAAGAAAAAACTCACTACTGTTCACACCCAATCCTCTAGGCAAGGGTAATCAACAAAGTAGCTGTACAGTACAGGTAGCATTTCATTATTACTACACCGAGAATCTCCATTAAACAACCATCAACTTACCTTTCCATGATCCTTGGGCAAAGGAAACAAAGGGCAGATTTAGTGCTGGATAACAAAGTACTGAACCCAAGGAAAAGCTACAGCCCCATGCCTGTCTCTCCCCATTACAACATAATCATAAAACAGTCAATATTGCATCTTGGCATACAACTAGGGAGAAATTGTAAAAAGAAAAAGGTAAATAAATTAAGAGCATATAACACAAGAAGAACTACACAAAGAAACACAGGAAGAGTTCAGACAAATAATTCTTCAAAGTCTCAAAGGCAACCATAGGAAACATGACCCCTCTTTAAAGAAGAAAAAAAAAAAAAAAAAAAAAGCTCAAAGAAGAAAAACAAAGGTTCAAAGAAGAGATTCTACAACAACAGAAGGAAATAAAAATCAAGCTAGTAGAACTCAGAAAAAAAATGAAGAGAAAAATAACATTATAGAGTTAAAAGCCGCATTAAGAAGCAACCAAAAATAGAATGTGAGTAAAAACAAACACCAGGACATGGAGAAATCATACAACAAAACAGATGGGACCAAAAATGTAAAAGCAACTTACAGCAAAGATAATGGACACAGAGGAAGAAGAAAGAGAATACAAAGAATATACAATTGTCTTCTTAAAAAGACATATAAAGTAAAAAGGAAAATGTAAGATGAAAGATGCGATAGGATAAAACTTTTCAAGGTAAATAAAGTCTTGAATTTATAGACTGATGATTTTTATGGAATTTTAAGGCTAAAGAAATAAGTGGATAATTAGGCAGAAATAAGAAATTGCACAAGAAAGGAAAAAAAATCACGTCAATTGTTGTTCTAATTGTCCAAGAACAACAACTGATATAGAAAACCACAGAGCAATGTGGTCCACATACTGATAAAAGGAAATGATGTTTTTAAATTTTATACCCAGCCAAGATTTCCTTACATCGTATCATGTAAGTATATGTTTTGTAGCATATAAGAACTTAGGGGACCCCTTCTTGAAAAATGAGCCATTTCTGTAAGTACTGATATAAAACTATACCCAAGAAAATGCCAAATAGCATATACAGTATGTTATTATTTGTAAGAAAAAATAACTGTGAATATGCTTCTTTTGTTATTGCTTTGGTTTTTAAGACAGCGTCTAGCTATGTAACCCAAGGCTGGCCTGGAACTCATGATTCTAATGCCTTAGGGGTAACATTGATCTTGTATTGATTTAAAATTTTGATATTTTATCATGGATTTTTACATTAATCTTGATGTTCTAAAATATGGCATTAAATATTTATCTTGAAAAAAGATCATTCTAGCTGTAGCGTGGCAAATAAATGAGATGAAACGAAAATTATGGCACTGAGTTGAGCACTGGTAGTAGAGAGAAAGAGGACATTCAGAAGTGACATCAGATGGGGAAGGAGAGTATGAAGCATGACTTTAGCAGTGAAGGGATGAATGTCCCTAAGGACAAGGGAGAAGAGAAGACCCATTACAGAAACAGCAAAAGTGCTACTCAGGGTTGGAAGTGCAGCAGATGCTGGACAGCACACACACCAGGATGCAAATCTGTACTTAGACTGCAATGCTCTCTGGCAATGCTTGGGTATTCGGTCTTCAGCATAGTGAAGTGGGAGACTGAGTTTATCGAGGTTGCAGATTGCTGGGAGGAAGGGAGGGAAGAAATTAAGAAGCATCTGTAAATGAGTGACTGTAACCACAGACCAGGGAATCTAATCTGGACAAAGAAGGTAAAAACAGACATGGTGTCTGCATAGAAAATAGAGGGACTAATGCTTACATGGAGGCAGAGGTACATACCATGCACTGGCTGCTTGTCTCCAATTGCAGAGAGAAGGACGTACCAGAGGAATCTGAGGGCTGTCAAGGGGAAGGGGAAGTAGTGCGACTGACTGATGTACCTCTAAGAAGGGATTTATATGGGAGAGGAGCAGTGGTCCACAATGATACTGCTTCCCATTTCTGAGGTGCATACTAGAGAGAAATCACCACAAAGTTTCAGTTAAGGCCAGGAAGAGCGGTGGAACATTCCAGAAAAAGTTGATATAGGGTTGTCTGCTGGTCACGAAGCAGGTGACACAGAGGGCACCATAGAAAGAGTGGAGAAGTGAATAGATCGTAGACAAGGGTAGAGGGCATAGATCTAGAAAGCAGAAGACTGCAGCCACCACAGCTCAAATCCTGATTCTGCATCTCCCTCTCCGCTAGACTGCCACAGTTCACTGGCCTCCCCACACAGCCTTTCTGCACCTTCAACTGGTTATCCTCACCACAGTCAGGATAAATTCATGTAAACATACATAAAGTTATCATTTTCAAAATCAGAGAGAAAGGGGAAATGAAACCAATGTGAAAATGAGCAAATGGAGGTACTGCCTCTTTAAAAAAGTGTAAACTGTGAAAATAAAAATGACATGGAGCAAGTAGTGTCTAGCATAAGGACATCAGATGTCACAATCATAAAGACTGCACACAAATTTAAAGTACTGACATTATAAAAGTAAGTGAATCAGAGCCAGGCTATGGTGGGTGGAATTCGTGGAATTCATGAAATTCCTCTCCCCATACTATTTTCTGAAAACTTTCCCTTAGCATAATAAAAGAGATGAGTTTGGTTAAAAATTACTCAAAATAAGAATGTGGTGTTTAAAATAACAATTCAAAAACATGATTTCTTTCCAATTTCAAGAAGACAACTTTCCACATTTAATAACCACCTGCAATTTTGTATTCCATTAGAAGCATTTAACTGCATTTGTAATACAAATGATGCCAAAGTGGAACATTCTCCATGAGTTGTTTGGAACATTCAATTTTCCTATCTACGTCATCATAAAGGAAAAAGAAAGTTCACGCCCAAGTTAATTTGACATTTGACAGAGATTAACAT